AGGATGAAACTGGTGGAATGACACTGTTGGGTGGTGACGCTGGTGGGGATGACACTGGTGGGTGGGTGTCATTGGCAGGGGGATGACACTGGCAGGGGGATGACACTGCTTGGTGGGTGACACTGGTGGGTGGCTGACACTGGTGGGAGGATGACACTGCCAAGTGAGTGACATTGGCAGGGGATGACACCTCTGGGGGAATGACACTGCTGGGTGGATGACATTGCCAGGAGGATGGATGCCGCTGGGGAATGGACACTGCTGGGTGAGGGACTCTTGACAGCCTAGAGCAGAGCTTGGCCAGGGGCATCTTTTGTTTTTACACGATGACAAATGTTTAGATATGCTGCTGGAGATTTAAACAATTAAATAGTCCTAGTGATCTGTTTCCACAACAGAGGATGTCATTCTGAGATGTTTTCTATCAGAGACAAAGTCAGCTTCTCTGTCTTTGTGTGAATCGTTTACTAATTTGCGGACACAAACATTTTAAATAACACTTTAATTGATATGGAATTCACATTCCTTAAAATTTACCTTTTAAAAATAAACAATTCAGTGGGGTTTTTTTGTGGCGTTCACCAATATCCAATCCCAGAACATGTCACCCCAAAAAGAAACCACAGCCATGCCCTGTGGCCTATCCCCATGCCCTTGCACCCACCAATCTACTTTCTGTCTGCAGGGATGCACTATTCCGGACCTTTCGTATAGATGGAATTTGCCTTGCAGATGGTGCAGCCCCATTCCTGGCTTCTTTCACCAGCCATAGGGGTTTCAGGGCCGCAACACTTCATTCCTTGATTCTTCTTCTTTTTTTTTTTTTTAGATGGAGTTTCGCTCTTGTTGACCAGGCTGGAGTGCAATGGCATGATCTCAGCTCACCACAACCTCTGCCTCCCAGGTTCAAGCGATTCTCCTGCCTCAGCCTCCTGAGTAACTGGGATTACAGGCATGTGCCACCACGTCCAGCTAATTTTGTATTTTTAGTAGAGATGGAGTTTCTCCACATTGGTCAGGCTGGTCTCGAACTCCCAACCTCAGGGGGTTGGCCAGCCTTGGCCTCCCATAGTGCTGGGGTTATAGGCGTGGCCACCGCCCCCGGCCGATTCTTTTATGGTTTAGTAATATTCCACATGGATGTGCCACGTTGCATCCACCCCTTCAGCACTTGATAGACATTTGAGTGGTTTCTACCGTTTCCACTTTTATGTCTTTACAAGTGTTTTAATAAATCTTTGTCTAAGCATTTTCCCCTAAAGCTTCAATTTTGAAACACTAGAAAATCTTATTATCTGTATACCATATACTTTGTAAAATTTGCCTTTTTTCTTCAAGTTCCCTACATAATGCAAATGCGCAGCTTCTTGCAGAAGTATTGCTACAGGGCCACCAGGATATGTCACTAGAGGACTGTGCCATTTCATCCTTGTGTGGGTCTGTGCTCCCTGGCTGCCTCTTTTGTGAAAAAGAGGGTGAGGAGGACCAGCAAGGAGACACGCCCACTTCAGGGGAACACCTTCTCCCACAGGTGGGTGCTTTGTTGGGGGAGCCATATTCACACTTGTGCATACTTAAGGCAAGAGAATATTAATGCCCATTTTACAGATGGGAAAACTGAGATAAAGACAAGTCCAGAGGTAGCAAGAGGCTGAGCTGAGATGCACCTCAGGATTGCCCTGGAGGCTTCCCCTGCTCAAGGCTGCCTCCTGCACAGCCCAACAGCCTCTAGCAGGCAGGGCCATGAATGGGACCCTCCGGCCTTGAAGGAGGATCAGCCCATTAGTATCTCTCTCCTCTTCTCTACCTGCCCTAAGGGAGGAAACCTCTACTTAATCTTCAAGTAGACAACTTACCTACAGGTGATATAGGGTGTTTAGCTTTTGAAGTGAAACTTACTGGAGTCTTCCCCTCCGGTACTGGAATACACTTTCCCAATGCACTGCCTTATCCAAACCTCCAGGGCAGGCAGTGAGGCAGCTCGGGGGATGAGGGCTGGGCGTGTGTATAAAATCCCTGACCCCCCAAGAGCCTTGGGAAGCCGAGAGTAGATGTGTGCTGATCACCACTACCTGAGGGTTCCAGGACACAGACATCATCGTCCCTATTCTACAGAGGAGGAAATGGAGCTTTCTATGCAAGTTACATCCTTCTTCACACTGTGGCTTTTGAGGGGCAGGGGTCTTACTGGGCTCCCTGTGTCTCATGTCCTGCACAAGGCCTGGCTCCGAGGAGGGGCTGCACAACCTTCCTGCACAAGAATGAAGGCGGGAGCAAAGCAGTGACTGTGTGAATCCATGGGAATGCCCAGGACCAGCACTCAGGACCTTTGTCTTCTGGTCAAAGCACCAGGGAGCAGATATGAGCAGCTTCGGCAAGACCCGGCTCAGCTGAATGAAGTCGAGTGTCTTAGGTCATGAACGGTACAGAAAGAGCTGTCCCTCTTCAGAACCAAGCACTGTGGGGAGGGAAGGTGTGGTGAGGGTCATCACCTCCTGCTCCGCTCCCCTGGCCTGAACGGACTGGGCAGGGCAGCCCTGAGGAGGGGCCACTGGACAGCAGAAGTTGAGAGCAGCCTCCCTCGGGTCTGTCTGTTCTGCTCTTCAGTTTTGTCAAAGGTCATTTGAAAACTGGTCACAACAATATTTCCTGCTTCTTCTCAGCAACAGTCAAAGGCCCTATCCATGATGTTATATATAATAAATGGCTTTTGATTTACTGGCAGGAAAAACAATATCACTGCCGATGCAATCTTATGCTGTCTTCTTACCAGTTAACAAGGGCGGGGTTGCTTGATGAAGAATCAAGTGGTTATATGTGTTCATTCACCAAACGTTTATTGAAAAACTGCTTGGGTTGGGATTGGCCCAGGGCTGAGAACACTGAGGTGGCCGGGACACCGTCTTTGACCTCTGGGAGCTCACAGTCTAGTTCCACTCTTTACTGTGGCCACTGGGAAGTTTATGGCTGCAATCTGAAACCTTCATAATTGAAATATTTGCCCCTCTTCCTTTCGTCAGTTCTGATCTTCTATTTCTATTTTAATTTTATTCTATGCATATCCTTTATTATCAGCAGTTGTAATATACTTTTATATGGGGATAAAAAAGGAAAAGATACAGATGGCAGATTAAGCATGCACCCCTCCCCCACCTCCTCCTCCTGCTCCAGATCCCTGGAAATGACAGAAAGTGTCTTTCTGTCTCTTTGCCTCTCTCTTTCTCTCCCGCTCCCATGAATCCAGAATAGCTCTAGAAAACAATGACCAAAGAAGTGCCATAAACAAGGCAGAGATGCTGAGGAGTTCCTGAGAGTTTGAACACAGAGGGACTGGCTGGATGAAGAATCCCAGGTGGGAGCTGCCCATGGTGTTCTAAAGGCAAGGCTCGCAGACAAGGAACAGAAGGCTTGGAGACAGTTGCTCAGGTGTCTGGGTGCAGAGCTGGCGTCTGAGTAATTGTCAGGCTCCCTCCTCTTCCCTGACACCTGTCAACAGGGAGGTGGGAGGAAGTCTGCCTCCAGGCTGGAACAGCGGAGTGGCCATTGAATAATCCTCTGGTGATGGGGGATCTGAGAGAAACTGAGGTTCCAGGGGGGACCCCCTAGCATACCCCCACCGCCAGAGTAAACAAAAGCAACTGGGGAAACCATAATCTCCCCTACAAACATGAGCATCCATCCCAAATCAGCAAACCAAAATACAGCATTCAATAACTAGGGAACTAACACCCAGGGAGACACGGCTAGCAGCACAAAGAGAAAAGTAGAATTAACATCTTCAGAGGGACAAGTTTAAGATAGTAACAGTGTGGAAAAGAGCCAGTTACAGGTCTCAGGAATAAAGCCATTGAAGTCAGGTTTCAGTGGCAGGCTGAACAGTGAGTGGCCACCTCTGAAGGTGACTTGGTGAATGTGACCATGGAATGAGGAACTCTCCCGGTGCAATACTGAAGAGGTGGAGAGAATGAGAGAAAGGTGCTGTACAAGCTCAAGTTTTCTAAGTGCACTGGTGGGCATTCTATACAGGGTGTGTGGAGGGGTTCAGATCCATGACTAAGGCACAGCTTGTCAGACAAAGGGTCATAGTGAGAACATATTAGAGGAAGGTGCATTGCTCAGAGATCTGGGACTAGGAGCTGCTGACGTTATCTCAATGTGATTTGGGTTGTATCCCTTCGAGGAGGGAAATGTATTTTGGATGTACGTGGGATGAAAGCATAATTTAAGCAAGGAAGAGTTTTGAGATTTTATGCATGGTGAGAGCGTGTGTTTCTCTTCTGAGCAGCCAAGGGGTGGATTGTAGTCGGCTGTTGCCGCTATGTTGTGTGCTCTCAGAATGCCTGCCACCTCCCTTTTCCAGTGATATTAGCACCACTTGCCTTGGGGGAACTCTTGTCCCATTCCATGTGGTCCTGTTGAACCTACCAATTAAGGTCCTCCCTTCCCCCACTGGCCACGCTCCCTCCCCCACCCCCACACACACGGAGTCACCAGGATAGCCACATGGTCCTGGCTGGACTACTAATGACATCCTATTTGCCTAGGGCAGTTGGAATGTAACCCAAGGCAGACCAACAATCCTCTCTGAAAATATTCTTTAAATGTGGTGTGGGAGAAACACTGTTTCTTCTGGGATTGTATGTCTAGGGTTGCCAGCGGCTGTTTCTTCTGATGCTTATAAAATTTCTGTCTGAAAAATAGAGCCAGACATAGACAGGCAGAGATAAAAACAATAAGAAAATTAAAAAGCTGTTTTGGCATCATTGGAGGCCCTCAAGCTAGCTGTGCTTAAGATGGAAACGTCCACAGCCTGTCTTGTTAAGGAGCAAACCCACCTCTCACCAAACCAGAACACAAAACCCCAAACTTTCTTGCTTTTAACCATTTTCAGTTGGGTGCCCTTGTGACCAGTATCATCATGACTTATATAGGATCTTTGAAAATAGTGTTGTATTTGTATATGAATATCATATCTGAATATCTTTCTGAAGTCTCTTCTTGAATTTTCCAGATAGATGTTTACAGTAGCTGCGAAGACTTATAGTTTTATCCTTTTCTTTCCAATATTTACCCTTTGTCTCTTTTTCCTCTTTTTTTTGCCTCATCTATAATCCCTAGGATATAGAATGGTAATAGTGGGCATATTTGATTTGTTTCTATTTTTTCACTCATTCACCATTGATTTAACATTAGCTGTGTGGCAGAGGTTGCTCTAGGTCCTGGAAATACAGATGTGAACAAGATGGACAAAGTCTGTCAGAAGCTTTGAGGAGAAACAAGGATGGGGAGAGTGAAAGTGTATAGTGGGGAAACTGGATGCAGCTGTACCCTGGAGAATATGAGGTCTTCCTGGAAGAAATCATGCCAATGATACCCTGCATCTTTTATATGAAATCTGATCTTTCCTATTTGGTTTCTGATAAATACTCTATCAAAGGTAAGAAAGTTTCTTTTTATATTATGTTTACTGAAAGCTTTTTTAAAAAAAATCAGCAATGGATGTTTGATTTTATCAAATTCCTTTTTACAGCCATGAACATAGTCCAAGCCCTCCTTTTTAGCCTGTTAATGTGAACACCACCAAAAGCTCTGCTAATATTGAACCGGCCTTGCATTCCTATATTTCTGCATTGTATTAGCATATTATTCTGTTACTAATATTGGATTCATTCTGCTAATATTTTATTCAGGAGTTTTGCATCTTTTTATAAGTAAAAATTAGTTTAGTAAGTATATTTTGTTAAGTTTTATGAAATGAAGTTAGAAAAATTTCCCCCATCTCTATACTCTGAACTAGTTTAAGTTACATGGGTGTAATCTGGATGTCAGCTGAGATGTCTCGTCCTTGGAGAGGTCTGATTCTCTCTCAGGTTCTCTGGGTATTTTGGAGGAGGTGTACATTTTCCCACTTCCCTCTTAGCTCTGAGCTTCTGTTGCAACTGAGGTGGTTCCATTTTTGGATTGTCTTTCTGAGCCATATGGGCTGTTTCTGTTCTGCCTTCAATTGCTCCTAACGTATGACACATTCTCTTTTCCTTACACCAGGCAGGTGGGTGTCTTGCAAAACTGACTGAAGATTTAAGATTGAGGAAGGCTATGTCACAGTATCTCCCAGCAGATAGCCCCAAGGTAAACAGAAGACATCCCCTGTCCTCAAGGCTCCTTTGGCCTCCCCCAGGAAGGGCCCTACACACTCACATACTCTGTCTCCTCCAAGGAATGGCCAGGTCTCTGTTTTCTGGGACCCTCAGCTTTTGGCTCCCCCAACTTCATTCCTCTACTCAGGCAGACTGATTTCACTAACCTCTGTTCTCAGCACAGCTCCACTTTTGCATGGCTAGAGACCCATCACATCTGTGTTGTGCCAAACCAGGGCCACTTCCTCCTTTTACAATTTTCTCCATCAAAGGGACAGCACACAAAAATACCGATTTTTCTGTTGTTTGGGATTGTTCCACACAACTCGGAAAGCACAGGTGGCTATCATCACTTTTGATTTTAAATCCTTCCCCCTGCTCCATCAGATGTGTCATTAGCCAGTGCTTTTCAGTTTCTCTGACTCCTGGGCCAGCTCACTCCATCAATAAAGTCAGAGGCTGGGACTGGCATGAGAGAGTGAGAGAGATCAACATGGGACCAGTCTCTCTTTGTGATTTCTAGCTTGTCCCAGCGCCCCACACTTCACATCCACATTTTCATTACTGGGCATTTGGGTAGCTTCTCATTTTTGGTTTTCATGAATAATGCTGCTATGAACTTTCCCTTTTTTTTTTTTTTTTTTTTTTTGAGACGGAGTCTCACTCTGTCACCCAGGCTGGAGTGCAGTGGCCGGATCTCAGCTCAGTGCAATGCAAGCTCCGCCTCCGGGGTTTACGCCATTCTCCTGCCTCAGCCTCCTGAGTAGCTGGGACTACAGGCGCCTGCCACCGCGCCCGGCTAGTTTTTTGTTTTTTTTTTTTGTAATTTTTAGTAGAGATGGGGTTTCACTGTGTTAGCCAGGATGGTCTCGATCTCCTGACCTCGTGATCTGCCCGTCTCGGCCTCCCAAAGTGCTGGGATTACAGGCTTGAGCCACTGCGCCTCATACCCTTCTTTTAATGAATGTAGGTATGCCATTCAATTGACTGTAGGCCTAGGAGTGGAAGTGCTTGGTCATAGGGTTGGCATATGTTAGCTTTAATAGATGCTGCAAATCTCTCTTCCACAGAGATTGTACCAATGTAGTCCCCCACCAGAAGCCTAAGAGTGTTCCAGGATTTCCAGCACATGGCCTTTTTCTGTCATTTTCATTATAACCGTTCTGAAGGTGTGCAGCAGTAGCTCATTGGTGTTTTAATTTGCATTCCTTTGATGATCATTGAAGTCAGGCACCCTCTCCTGCGTTTACTGGCTATTGGGCTATCCTGTTTCATGAAGGTCCAAGTCCTGCTCATTTTTCTATTGAGTGGTGTCTCTTTTTATTGCTTTGTAGGAAATGTTTCTATTCTGGATGAATCCTTTGACAGATGTACATGTTCTGAATATCCTCTCCCACTCCATGGCTTGCATTTTCAGTCTCCTGATGGTGCTTTCTGATGGATGGAAAGTCTTCACTTCAATGTAGTCCAACTTGCCAATTATATTCTTTATGGTTGAAGGTTTTCTGTATATCATTCAAGCCATCTTTGCGCGCCCCGAGGTAATATGGTTATTCTCCTAAGTCCTCTTTTTCCCAAGATATTTGCATGGTGCATTCATTTAGGTCTCTGTTCAAATGTCACCTCCTCATAGAGATATTCCCAGACCGTTCCATCTAAACCAGTGTTCTACCATCACATGCCACCCCTCACTCCATTTTAACGTTCTTCAATGAACTGATCATTATTTAACTTTATATTATATATTGAGTTGTTCTTTATTTGTTAGTTTGTTGCCTGTCCTCTACACTAAATGTCAGCTCCACAAGGGCAGGAATTTTTCCTTGTTGTTCACTGTTTTAACCCCAGCACCTAGAACAGTGTGTGGCACACATAATTGCTTGCTATAGATTTATTAAATGAATGATTCAATAATTGCATTTAGTCCTCACCACTACCCAGTGAGGAAGGGCTTATTCTGTTGTCCCTTTGAGTCCAAAGATACTCCTCTTTAAAATCTCTGCAAAATCCTATCAGCCATTCACACTTTAGTAAAAACAAATATTTTTACTCTGCTTTTCCTTGGTAACATTTTGCAGGTGAGGACACTGAAGCTCAGAGAATCTATCATCCATCTCAACAATGTTTTTACAGCCTTTTTTTTTTTTTTTTTGGTGCCAAGCTCTGGGGGGTCTGGAAGTATAAAATTGGTAAAATAGCAGTTCTTTGAAGCCATTTTAGGGACAAGTGGTAGAGTGAAGCATGGAGCTCAAGATCATCTGACTCCAAAGCCCACATTCTGTTTTCTGAGATGTGCAGGGGACTGAAAGAGGGACTTTTCTGGATGGAAGAACCTTGAGCTTGTTTGCAGGCTGTGTGGCAGGGCCCACAGGAGAGAAGGATTAAAGGTAAAGAAAGGCTAGGGCCTCAGGAGGCAGCCAACCCCTTTCCCTGATGCCCCCTGAGCCCTCCTTTACCTCCAGACCTTACAAGGCCTGTGGTCTCAGTTGTGTCCAGTCTGACCCCAACTTCTGGAAGGGACCCCCCAGCAAGTCTCTGTCCCCAGCTCCATAATCATCCCTTCCCATAAACCTTTCCCTAATAAAATTCCCTTTCCTGCTTGAGGCTCTCCTCTGAGAAAGTATGGGTACCAACTCATTTATACTAAAGTATAAATGACTAATTAGACATGTTGTGTTGTTCCTAGTAGGATTTTGCTTTTCCCAGAAGGGATTTGAAATAGGCAGTCCTGTCACTGGAGGGATGACTCCATAATTGTGTGAATTCTGGCCAGATAAGATACTTGGGGAACCGAGAAAACTATCCACATTTAAAATACCATGAAGGCAGCAACTCTTTCGCTATACCTGATTATAACCAGTCTCCATATCAGCATAACATTTTCTAATCTGCAAAGTCCTTTCATCTCAACCAGGTGGGTCTGAGAAAAGGAGTCTCAAGGGGTTCGAGGTCTTCTGGAAGGGGTGGGGGTGAGGCTTGAGCCATTTTCTGCCTCTTCTGCCCATGTCCTTTCCACGCTGTCTGGAGCTTGGGCAAGCAGAGCCTAAGCAGCTGCATTCTGTGCTTCGCCTTAGAGGCTCCGGCTCCCAAGCACTCGATAATTAATGCCAATGAGCCCTGTTAGCCACATACTAGGGAGGGAGAGAGTTCAGTCCCCCTCGCTCTCCGGCCTGCAATGGCACCTTTCGTACTTGTGAGTTGGGCCCAGATCACTGGATTCTGGGATGACAAGGGGCAGGGAAGAAGGGACAGCGGATGTGGAGGTTTATCTGCAGGAAGCCAGGGATGGCCTGCTGGGTTTCAATGAGGGGCAGTTTTTCAGACTAGCTCCCTGGCCCCTGCGAGCCTGTCTTGAGAAGCTTCAAGCCCTGGACCTCATTTTTGGTCTGCATCCTGTGGCCTTGGGAGACCCTGCTTCTCCAGGTTCTCAGTCCCCCATCTGTGCAGCGTGTATTTGGGAGACCAGTGCTCTCTAAGGCCTTTGAGCAGCCTGGAAACCTCCAGTGCTTGGAGCCAGGGTGAGCTTGCATCTCCTCCAGGTGGGTCCAACTGGACACCAGAAGCCTGGTCACCTGGGGGTAAGGGCTTGGGATGGGAGTGGTCCTGAGCACAGTGTAGGGAGAACTCAGGGTGTAAGAGTCAGGTAGGTCTGGGCTCAGGCCCCTGTTGGGACTCATGCCAGCTGAGTTACCTTGAGGATGCCACTTAATCTCTCTGATTCTTCATCTGTAAAAGGCAACTAATGGTTCCCTCTAATGAGGATGGCAGGTGCTTACCAGAATTGGGGGATCTGGAATGGGTCCCCGTTTGAGGGGTAGGGATGTTTTTTTAAATAAAAATCAGTTTGTTTTTGAGACGGAGTCTTGCTCTGTTGCCGAGGCTGTAGAGTAGTCGTGCCATCTCAGTTTACTGCAACCTCCCACTTCCAGGTTCAAGCAATTCTTCTGCCTCAGCCTCCAGAGTAGCTGGGATTACAGGCGCATGCCAGCAAGCCCAGCTGATTTTCTGTATTTTCAGTAGAGACGGGGTTTCACCATGTTGGCCAGGCTGGTCTTGAACTCCTGACCTCAGGTGAGCCACCCACCTTGGCCTCCCAAAGTGCTGGGATTACAGGCCTGAACCACTGTGCCCAGCCATAACAATCAGTTTCTGTTGCTTGCCTGCTTTAAGACTCTATTGGGGTTTCTCTGTCCCTAGCCTCCTGACTTGGCCCACAGGATGTATGTCACCACCCCCCTCCCCCAACCTTGCAGCTCCTTCTCTCTGCTCCAACCCTAGCAGCCTCCTTTAGGATTTTTCTCCCATTTAAGAGCTTCTCCCCCTTCTCTCTCCTTGGCCAACTTTTGTCTGTCCTTTAGTACCCAAGTCGAAGAGATTTCCTCAAAGACATCTTTTCCCCCATTGAAATGAATCCCCCTGTTACAATTTCTCAGAGGGCCATTGTGTCGGGACAGCTATGACAGAGCTAGAGGAAGATTTCTTTCTCTCTCTTTTGTAAGCAAAGTCTGGAGGTCAACAGTGCCAGTCTCCCACAGCACCTCCGTTAGCCTCAGGAACCCAGGCTCCTCTCTTGCTCTGTGCCTCTCAACATGTGGCATACCCCTCATAGACTCAGAAGGCTGCTCCAGCTCCGGCCGTCATGTGTCCCTTCCAATGGGAAAGAGGGAAGAAGAGGAAGGAGGAGGCTCACCTCTCCAACCATAAGATACTTCTAAGGAAGTATGGTCTGTTTGTGTCCCTCCAAAATTTATATATTGGAGCCTAATACCCAGTGTAATAGTGTAAAGAGGTGGTGTGTTTAGGGAGTGATTAAGTTATGAGGGTATTCCATTCCACAACTGGAATTAGTGCCCTGATAAAAGAGGCCTGAAGGAGGCTGTCCACCCTTTCCACCACGTGGAGACATGTAGTAGGCTCCATCCACAAGGAACAGGCCCTCACCAGACATCAAATTGGTGCCTTGATCTTGAACTTTCCAGCTTCTAGAACTGTGAGCAGTAAATTTCTATTGTTTGCAAATTACCCAGTCTAAGTCATTTTGTTATAGCAGCCTGGTCAGACTAAGACAGAAGCCACCCATTTACTTCTGACCAAATTCCATTGGCAGGAACTCTTTTGTGGCCACACCCAGTTGCAGAAGAGGCTGGGAAGTGTGCACGATGGCTGTACCTAGCTGAAAAGGAGGCAAGAATAGATATTGGGAGATGAATGTGTGTGCCAAGACCCTGCCTCTTTCCTGCAGGGTCTGTAGTCATATGTCCATGTAACACTGGCCTGGTTGTTTCATATCTCTCCCGACTAAGTCAGGGCCTGGAGAGCAGGGAGCCCCCACCTGCTCCCAGGGGTCCCCTGTGCCTGGCACAGTATCTGGGATACAGTCAGTAGAAGCTCGGGAAATATTTGCTAAACAGGTCGATAAAACTAGTCTTGGACTCCTCCCTTTGCTCTCCTCTGATCAAGCCTTTAGGATTAAGCCCCTTCCTCCACACTCCATACCTTTTATTCTCTCTGGAGAAGGCCTCTGGGGTTTTCCCTCCAGGGGCTTCATGTTTCCAGCTGCTCAGTGATTGGACCTGGATGTTCAGACCCCTCTCCCTCCCGATAGCTGTGCAGGGATTATATCACGGAGTTTGATGTGCAGATGCTGGGAGTAGGGGAGAGCTGGAATGAATCGGAACTGACAGGTTCCAGCGTGAAGACGGCCCGAGTCCCGAGAACACCAGCAGCCTAATTGGCAGTGCTGTACATCAGTGCTTCTCAAGCGCAGTTCGGCCGAGAATCACCTGGGGAACTTGTTAAAAATACAAAACTTCTGAGTCAGTAGGTTTGGGGTGATATATTTGGTTGCAAGTGACATAACGCCAAATAACTTAGGCAAGAAGGGAATCGATTGTGAGGGCACAGGGGCTTCTCTTGGAACTGCGAGGAGGCTGGGGCACCCTGGTGGCTGGCCAAGAATCCTGTCGCCTTTGGGGCTGCCCTCTTCTCTGCTTCTCCAGTTCTGGGCGCACTGAGGAGCAGCTCCCATCCCAGAGGAGTGACCCCTCTCTCCACAGGGTTCCTGCAGGAAAAATCCCTGGGAGGACTCTGATTGTCCTGGCCTGGGTGTGCCCCAGAAATGCTGCTGGGGGGCTGGGTTCTGTGACTGGCCATGTTGAGGTTGGGGCCAGGGTAGGGGCACAGGGCATGTGCAGAGCCCCCTGAGGACTCTGCCGTCTCATGTACCGGGACAGTTCTGGAGGGTGTGTTCCTGGAGCTGGGCACTGGAGCCAGCTGGTTCTCTCTCATGCAGAAACCAGGGAGTCCTAGTTTTCCAAAGCCTCTAGGGACCTGGGATGCACAGCCAGACTGGAGACTCACCCTTGCAGACCAAGAGGACAGAACCACAGCTGAAGACCAGAGCCTGAGACAAACACCTCCAAATTGGTCTCAAGGGTTGGGTAGGAGAAGCCCCCACTGCTTGCTGCAGGCCTGGTTCTTAAGTGCCAGGTGGGGCATGCACTAGCCAGAAGGACCTGTGGGTGG